CCAAAAACAGTGCTTGTACAATGGATCCCGCCAACTTCACGGAGGTTTCTGAGAGCCTTCACTTTAAAATCACCTGTTCACATTGTACGAAGTACTGAAGTCAAGGGTCAGTATACATTTATTACCAGTTCAAAACTGGACAGTAATGTATGGTAAATATCTAAAGTGAAACCTTGCAAGAGTTATCCACTTCACATCAAGATTTCGGCGTGGCACCAATCTTAAGACAAGCGACGTAAGTCGGCCTCCATCTGTCTAATGGGTGGTCCGTAAAGACCATCAGCGTCAACCGGCACAAAAGGACTGACGCTGTTGAAATTGTCCAACTCTTCAATGGTCGACTGCGCTGAGGGAGCCAGTGCTTTAAAGGTATCTCGGATATCCTGTATCAACGGCGAAAACATATATGTTTTATATAATTATCGAGTCAGAGCAATGTTCGCACAGAAGTGGTCATCGTTTTGACTTTGTCCGCAAACAGGAAATCGTTGTGGCCAGAGGTGTTATGATTGGTTTCGGGTCCAGGTTAGGCTTTCCCTAAAAAATTAACCGATTCGCGAGTGGCGATTTTATGAAAGTCTATGTCTCGACATATATTTTCATAAAACCGCCACTCGCAAGTCGGTTAATTTTCTTTGGAAAGCCTAACCCTGACCCGAAACCAATCATAAAAGCTCTGGCCACAATGATCGTCTAGGGGGTTTGATGCTATTGGGGTTCCGCTATCTTCTCGCGTTGTCAGCGTTTCGAAATCTATATCAGTATTCGTGCCACAGCGATATGACCCACTGCCTCTTTACTCTCGGGGGTTGGGGTGCGCCGTTGGTGACCGATGGGATATTAAGTTAGTGTTAATACCCCACGTCGCAACCATTTAAAACTGGGTGTGGTCGCTGACGACGCCGTCTAGATACAGGGAACCCGGAAACAGGCAGCATTCGTTTGACGCGAAAACTTGAGAGTAACTTTTGTTACCGCCCATGGTTCCGCTAGTCGTGCAGCGTTCATATTTTGCACAGTGACACTTCTCTACTTTTAACTTTTAGAAAAACCTTACTCGATCTTGATTATAGTGACCTGATCCTTCAGGACAGCCTACTGACCTGGACTCTCTAGTTAAGGCTATGGGAGTAATAAAATGTTTGTTGTTACTCACATCTGTTACAGTCACCGTGCCTTGTCTTAAAGCGTAAAATGAGCAGGGGACTGTGGTGGCAGCGAGGTTAACATTCTCGGGAGTAGATCGGTTGTAACGCCTTAAGTTCTCAGCCTCGCCGTAGTCGAAGAATGCCATGTATTTTACTGGAATCAAAACATTGGCACTCGTCAGCAAGGATCTCCGACAAAGCGCCTCGGATTGAGAACCGTAGAAACGCAATTCCCCCGATGTCTTACAGTAGAACCGCACTTCCACTAGCGTAATACTGTCCGAAAACTTAAACTTAAATAAAGAAGCAAGGAAGAAAAAGTCACAAATTTTGATTCCCAGGATTTTATTTTGACGAGTTACCCCATCAGAGCCCATCAAATATCTGAGTAAAAACCATTAGAATGTTTTGGGGCCATTTTCGTGTGGAAAACTCCCTCTGGCGCCTCAACGATAAGAATTAGGGCCAAACGGGTGAAATTTTGGCTCTTCAGGTTACTCTATGATGAGGTACATCTTAGGCAACCAGAAAATAATCTTTTTAAAAATCATGAATGTTTTATTCCAGTTACGCGAGACGTGGTCTGGCGTACATCTACCTTGTCGGCTGAACGAGACAAACTTGTGATTTTTGTGTTGTTTAAAAAAGCATTGTGAAAACGTTTGCTGGGATAGTAATTGTGTACTTACATCGTCCTACTTGTTGAAAGTAGTAGTTCATCGTGTATATCGAAGTGCTGTCAAGAAGGTTGGCAAACGCATACGGGAACAGTTTCTGCATAAACAGATATTTGACAACGATTACAAGAACTATGGGTTCTGTCTTGATAGTAAAGAAAATTTCGAATTTTGCAAGTACTTTTATGCACACCTCACTGAAAAAAAATACATTAGTGCTAAGGACAGTTGTAACACCCCCAAGCACATTTTGCTCTTGGATCGGCTCCAAGAACACAATGTTGCTAACCATACGACAACGGTCTTTGGCCTAACGACAATGTAGCTGGCTCAAGAACAGTCGGTCGCAGAATGAGGGACAGTGTCGCACGGTTAGCAACGAAAATGTTCTTGATCCAAAACAAGCCTTGGTGACAGGCATGTCCTTAGCACTAACGTAATTTTTTTAGTGCTCCTCAACCTAGATGCAAATTAGCAGATGAGAACGTTTGGGTGTTTCAAATTGAACATTAAACCTTGAGGCGCGTATGGTATGGTTCCCGACCTTAGATTTCGACCGAACGGGACTTTCCGGAGAGGTAATCAAATTGTATTTTTTTAAAGCCCCACTCAGTTGAAACTCAAGTTTGGGAACCATGCTCTCCTCAATGTATAACTTTCTATTTGATCCACCCTATAGGACGTGCAAGTTTTACATAAGATTATTCTTGTGTCGAGGAGTACCAAGAAGATTAATCTTGCGACGAGTAGTACCAAGAAGAAAACTACTGAAACGTGAGTATGCCATGCTCACTGACTTAACAGTTTACATGAATGCTCACTGAAAAATAAGTGTACAATGCCCAAACTTCAGTTTCCGGAGGATGTATCAGCACTGACAAACCAAGTTGTAACTACTCCGCAACGTTTGACAGTGCGCAACTCCCGAATATAAATTTGGAAGTATTACGCACGAACAGGGCAATGTTGCGGGGTATATTTGAACACTTACAAGTGCATGTGCTCAACAGTTACAGCGAAGCAAATTCGTGTTAAGCACTGCCATACGTTTATCTGAGAGTTGCACACACTGTTAAAAATTTCTTGGGATTTTCCGAAGATTCATTTTCCACCACTATTAGAAATTCCCAGAGGATTCCGTTCTTAGTTTTTGTGAGCTAAAACAGATGTTGAAGGTGGAAGTTTTCGTTCGTCTATATGTTTCGAATCTAAGCTCGACACAGTGCACTTGTTCTGCAGTTAAACACGTGGTATATCAGTGTCAGTTTCATACACAAAGAAGTCGAGATGGAGGTGTGCAATATTCCATTTTCAGAGTATCTTAGAGATTGCTCGTTGACACCGAAACCATATTGCAGCGAATCCTGCCAATCCCCATTCTGGATCCGCCCGATTGGGCCCTCCCGGGGTCTACTGGGCCACGGCCATTGCACCTTATGATGACTTACGTAATTTATCTCATTTGAACTCCCCGCGAGTGTTTGGAAGAGGTAGAAGCAGGTCAGAGGTGAGATGCGACCGCAGAGGTTGTACAGGACAGAGTGCACCGTAGGGTTCATGAGGGCGAACTCGTTGTGCAGAGTCGTGGCTCCGACTGTCTGGAAGTCAAAGCAACAGGTTTCACTTTCGTTTTTTATCAGCAGCGAATATTTTCCCGTGAATTTCCTGTCACAATCCCAGTCGGTTAGAAAAAGCACTGTCTGGTGGCCGTTTTCCTAAATTACGTTTGCCTTACGGTTGACATTTTGAGATAAAACATTGGATTTGAGGATATTGCAATCGCAAACCGATTCAAATTCAAAGCTTAGCAGTTTCTGGTTTCTTTTTAACCTACCAGTATTCCAGACGAGCAAAACTACATAAATCGTACAGCACAAGTGCAGCTATATGCAAATTTGCATGGGCAAAAATATAGCGCCGCAGTCTAGAACCCTCAGATAGAATTTTCTTCATATACTTTAAATTTACATAACTATGGGCAAAAATAAAATCAGACAGTATCGTGTTCGCCCGTGAATTACAGTGTGCATATCAGGGGCCCCTAACTGAACGCTGTTACTATGCGTCATTTAAATAACTTGCATTTTAGAAAATAGGTTACGGTTATAGGCTGTTAGAAATCATCCAGATGAATTTTGCACTTCCATTCGGCACTTGCAGTCAATAACCTATCCATTCAACAGTAGGCCACAAGTTATAAGTTATGACTTAAACGTATAAAATCCCCTAAAGGGCACTTGTGCTAAGTTACAGACCCGTGACGCATATCCCAAGTAACTTCGGAGATATCGTGTCTGCAGGTAATCGGAAATATTGCCGTTTATCACATATTTAGGTATAATAAGGGTCTGATATCTAACACCACTGATATCACTAGTTGTGACAGCAGATGATACCAAAAGTGATAGTCCTAATTATCTGCAGCTAAAATATTCCCTGAACTGACTTCTGGTCTGAGTATTACTGACACTCGGTCAAGGGATAACTTGTGTTCTGCACATGCGCCACAGGAAAGTTGCGGAAAAATGTTTGTAGTTTGTTCTTGGTGCTTACTAGAGGTACGGGGGTGGGTCGGAGGTGGTAAACAACAGGAAACCTCACGGGAAAATGTTTGCTGTATGTTCTAGGAACACGAGTTGTTTCAAAACAAACATGGTAGAATCGGACAAATTCCCTGAATTTGTCTGCAAAGTATTTTCTCCGCAAACGATTTTTGCCTCCCTTCAGACAAGTTTCACATTCGTTCGGGGTGCAACGAAATAGGAAGCAAAAGCATTACACAACCTACCGTGAGTACATCACGCAAAAGAGCTAACGTTGCAAAGGCTAGTGAACGGAGACGTCCTAGGTAGCCAATCGGAGCAAACAGGTAGCATCCTGCGAGAAGCTTCTGGTAGCGCTGTCCGTGCACGTGATTCATGAAGAAGAGGGCGGTGCCAGCCTGGTCCACCCCCATGAGGCGTAGCTTAGTACTTCCAGTCTTATTGGAAACAAATTCCAACTGAAGCGGAAGATCGTAGGCGCCCCAGTGATACGGACTAAAATCAATAAAATGTGAGGAGTGGTCGTCGGGTTCTTCACTATGTCAAGCGTATTAAGATATTCCTGCCTTTCCCTGAATTTTTGTGCATCTCTCTTGATTGTTTTAGTCCTTTCTCGTTTTCCTCATTTCAATTCCTATCTCAGTCTATTGCTCAGTTATCGTGCCGATAGACGCACAAGGAAGGCCTTTCATCAAAGGCATATACAAATATTTTTCGAAATAATATTTTGGAGCTCTTTGATTTTGCTTGTTTTAATAGGTGTAATTTTGGGCTAGGGAGGTCAAAATTATTACAGTTCTTGCCTTTTCTGATTTGAAGTTCCAATAAAAGCCTCACGTACCGAGCTCAAATCGGTCTCGAGTTATCGTTATGACAGACAGACATACAATAAACAAACAAATAAACACACAGACAGACATACAAACGCAAAGCTTTTTGATCATCATCACTGGAGTAATAGACTGCGCTAATCGCTTAGCCAAAAACTTCTTTATTTTTTTTCCCCCTTTTCCTAAAGCAGAAGGGTGGGGTGCAGTTACGGTGTTGCCCCGTTACAGTCTTTTCTCGTGACCAAGGAGCAACTCCTTAGGGCCACAGGCCCTCCCTGAGGTTTTAAGTTTACTCAAACATGTAAGGCCCGTAGGCCTGACGAAACCCCGTCCGCAGGCCAAGCTAGCTCCTCCCCCTGCCAAACGGAGTTGCCTGCGGAGAGAAGTGAAGCTGGCAACTTTGTTTGGCAAAGGGGCGGGGCGGGCCTAGCTTGTTAGTTAAAGTATAGGGTAGAGCATACAGTGATTGTCCGATCTGGGGTACAGTGATTGTCCCCCGTGAACTTTAACGTCCCTGGCGGGTAAATGGTACGTCGCAGGAAAACCGGGCATAGTGCCATCTATAGGCCGTTCTTTTCACTGCCGAGTCGCGCAACCAATGGCGTCGCAACCGTCTCTATGAGGTGAGAGCTACAGCCGGAGCCGCTTGGGACTACATAAACAGTGACGCACAAGGTGAGTTTCTAAGCGCTCGGACTAAGAGCAGAGGGTTAGAATCGGGAGTGTTTTGCCCGTATGCCGACGCATTTGTTTGAAAACTTCTTTGCGGATAGGTTGCTGAAAATTCATTGCGCCACATAGCAGAAGAGATAATCCCGGATAATCCAAATATTTGACTGCAACTTGCTGTAGGGGGAAGGGACAATCACTGGTTCCCGAAAAGCTTATGCGACAGTGATTGTCCCTTCGTCGAAAATGAATGTTATTCGAACAGAATGTCACTCGTTTTCGCCCTCTGCGGTCTCTAGAACCCCATTTCTACACCAACTGCCACTGAACGAACATTGCCAGGCGTTACGTCTCGAGTAGAGACGATTTACAAGTTTCTCGGACTTTGACCTAAGAATCGCTTTTCAAGTTCCGCTGAAAGCATCATACTGTCAAAGGGCTAGCATACCGCGAGATCATGTAAAAGTATTCTGTAGACACGCGGAAGACACCTGAAATGGTCACATGCAAGCGCTTCGGCTCGGAATTATGGCTAAGTACAGCACGTCAAAATGTCTTAAACGGACGATTTAAGGGCGCTTCCCGCCTTTTTGCGTGTAGGGAGCCAGTAGAGCCACCTTAGCAGCCTATAGCTGGGCTGGCATATCATAGATTTTGCAAAGCAGTAGAAGAGTTTAGTGCACGTTACGCACAGCAAAATCGCACTGTACTTTACTTGTTTAAATGATTTGAAAGAGAACAACACCTTGCTTGTCGGAGGGGGGGGGGGTTGTTTCAGGGAGTCAGATTTTAGTCATGTGGCCCAAATAGGTTCCCGACGTGATAACTAAAGAAATCTGCGTTGTATTAGCACTTTGCCGACAAAAATGGCAGGGGACAATCACTGTATCAGCCCGGACAATAACTGGGCCAACGGGGTCAATCACTGTGACAATCGTGCCCTAAATTCATGGGTTGTTTGAATCAATGAGAATTTAGAATTTAACTCACCAGCCACCCCATAGTCCGAGCCCAAGCCCTTACCTAGCCATTGAACGTTGCAAATTTCGAAAATTTTGATCCCCAGATCGGTGGCAGGCATGTGTGTGTATGCACATTGCACATGTGTGCTTAAAGGGTCAATCACTGGATCTTCTATCCTACTCCTGTTGACTGTTACTCACTAAAAGTCCCAGAATTTCGCACTTTTATCGGAAAGAGTCGTGTGACTTCGGCCGAACAAGTACCCTCGGAATGTCAGAAGCCAAACGTCGTAGCATCGCCGAGCCAGGCGATATACTGAAATTGTTGAAAGAGAAAAAGTGATTTGCTGTACATGAGTGATATGCGTTCTGAGGTCGACCGGCGGAGATTGACGGGCGGTCTGTCTCGTACAAACCCCTGGCCACCCGGTTGGTCTTTAAAGTCGCAAAGTGAAAGAGAAGTGGGAACCGCGTCCACGCTTCCGATCGTGCTTTTTCTCATTCAAGCTCATTGTTCTATATTTCTAAGAACAAAGGGAGTACAGGAAAAACTGTATTTTTTTACTTCAATTGTTTTTCTAGACTGGCGAACCCTAGTGCCTTTCAAACTTCGAGTTAAGTGCGGTTAAGTCAAAATATGGTCGTAGGTAGTAGTGCAGACAAAACAGCCTCCTATGGAACAAAAATCTCTGTAGT